ATTTCTTCTTGATACTTTCTCAGTGAGTATGTCCTCACAGAAATATCACCTCCTACAGTGTATCCTTTATATAATAAGAAAAATAAATCATTTAATATTATATACAGTTTTACAAGTGTGTGTGTGTGTGTTACATGTATAAAATACATGTACAATAAATTTACAGTATAAGTAATTCAAATATTGCTGCACAGCAATTATTATTACTGTATATCAGGTAATTTTCATAGGAGAAAATTTCAGACAGAAAATATTCATGTATTTTTATTTTCACACAGTGGTTTCTGTCCGAAAATTATGCTTATTAGACGGTCTTATAAGTTCTAACTGCCATTGGAGAAGGAAATAAAGCAGCACCATTAATGGTGATAGTGCCACATGTCTTGATAATGCATGTAGTATCCACACATAATTTTGCATACAAAAATTTATACGCATGAATAAAATTTTCATGCATTTCAATTTCGCACAAAGCCTTGCATCCAAAAATTAAATACAGATGAAAATTACCAGATATACGGTATACTTACTGATATTAAGGAATGGTGTATCACTGAGGAATGTATCATCCCATACTCCTCCAAACTCTATTATCCAAGTATTGGTTGTATCCTCATTCCAAACTGATAGAGAATGAACATCTCTATCTTTGACTGATTCAGGAACACCAACCTAATAATAATAATAATAATAATAATAATGATAATGATGATGATGATCAATAATGATGATTCTGTATTGACAGATAGAATGTACATGTATGTATGTGACTATGAGTACATGTTATATGACATATATACATGTATAATGTAAGTATGTACATATTATCATAATGTGTTCTAACCTCCTTCCAATTAGTTTTGTTAATATCAAATGTCTCACATTGACTGCCACCAATAGCCAATAGTTTTAGTCCTGAAGGACTATTCAGTAATACACTCCGATGAGAATATATAGAAGATAGACAACTAGCGGTTCCATTAAATATCCTTGCACAAACCTACATGTAAATATACAATGAGACAAATTTCAATTAATTACAAAATAAAATTAATAAATATTGTACCTATTATTTACCATAATTATTATATATACATACCACTGATCCTTTAGTAAAGGTAAGACGATAAACAGAATTATCTGATATATTATCATCATCTTGAAGTAAAATAGCACTGGTATCATCTACTGACATCAAATTAAAGTATTCAATTCTAGGATTAACATCCCCAGTAACTTTAGGTAAGATCCACTGACCTACATGTATATGTACATTAATTTAATTAATTAAATAAAACTATTGATTTACCTGTAGCAATTCTAAAATAATGAATAATATTAACAGAAAGTCGTTTAATTATTATAAGGTAATCTTCTCCCTCAATCTTTACAGCAATCATACTATATTCATCCTTCCTCTTAGGACCATCCTCAGGGTTAGTAGGTACAACTTTCCTCCATTTGAGAGTATCAACATTTAAACTGTACAAAACATTATCATCATAGTTCCAATGACTACAATGTCCTCTATAATAGAATATCTCATTTCCAATAGCAACAGCTGCATAACCAATGATACCCAGTGGAGGATCGCCAGTGGTAGGTTTCTGCTCCCACCTACCAGTTGGAAGGTGAAGTATCTCCACAACTGATGAATCTCTTCTCTCTTTCTCAATATTGTGTTTTTCAGGATGGTCATCTTTCTCCCCACCCCACATATAAAGACAGTCTCCTACTATTACTGTAGAATGGCCACTTCTCTTAGCAGGTTCATAGTCTACAAAATAAAATAATTAAACAAATTATCAATCACACATTATTTTAACCTTTTGTAGTGGGGCTGGGAATGGCTGCCATTGTGCAATGTGGGTGACTCTGTGGTCAGCAACATATCTATGCAAACATACAAGTGTTACATTTACTGTTCATTGTTGCAGTTGTACACTTGGCTCAGTGTGAAATAAAAACTATAGGAACATGTTTCCAAAAGTACTACTTCCAAGGCCTGAGTTGCAA